ATCAAGAACAACTCCAACTGATCAATATGATTTTGCTTTTACAGTAACTCATTTTCGAGTGTCACGAACAGAAAAAAAAGAGTAGTTCCTGGATATATGGGTACAGGAATGCCCTTTTTTCTCTTATCTCATAACGTACGACTGGTTTACAGGATCGCTAGATTGGGCTACGAGTAGCAGATTAAGATATTTGTAGGGCTCTAGACTACTACATTTGGGCGACTTACTACTTTTTGGGCCACTTTAAAAATTAAAAATATCAAGCGATAAGGAGCCATACGGTACAATCGATCTGTGCAGCCCAATCGGATCTATTCTCTTACTGTGGATCGAAAATATTGAAAATATTCTGGGAATTATTAGTGGGATGTTGTCTCTTCTGATGATATCTATCTTGCATTCCTCTAGCCCGCGCTCTCTCTCTCTCTATTAACTGGACTCTTCTTTCTCTTTGTTCATCTGTCTCGTTCCTTCTTTATTTATTTCCCGTTGTCTCTATACGTTGTGCTGCTTCTAAATTCATTTTCTGTCAGTATTAATTGTTTATTAGTATTAATAAAGTTTGGAATATTTATTTGTCGAAACCGTGTCTTCTTCTTCTTAAAATAGAATGTTTATAGTCGCATGTGGGGCTGTGTGTGGCACTGTGGGAGTGAGATGTTTCACGTTGCGAGGCATGAGGGGAGGCCGTGAAGTCGGAAGGGAAGGAAAGGAGAGTGGGAAGACGTATATATTTCTGCTTGTATATATTTTTTATTGCCCTTTTCATTCAAATTCCGTGTAAACGCGCATTTACGGAGAGAATATTCAACCTATATGTACAGTACTGTACATAATTACAAGCAGAAAAATATACTTTCGAGGAAATATCAGATCAAGATATTACGAATAAACTAAAAAGATATTGCACAAATCGATCAGTTTACTGGAGAATAAAATCATTTACTACTTTTTGTATTTTCAATAAAATAAGATACAAGCAGAAATATATACAAATACCATTTTCTGTTCTTTTTGCAAGTATTTTTCCATCTTATCACAATTAACATTCTTCGTGACTTTTCGTAAATATGAAAGTTCAAAGTAGAAAACTTACACAAACGATGCTAATTTAATATTTCAAAAATTCGTTACGTATTCCGTAAAATGAATAAAATTAGCTTGTTCAATTTTGAATTTGAATGAAAAGAGTAGTAAAAAATTTTATCGAACAATTGGGGGTATAGCTCAGTGGTAGAGCATTCGACTGCAGATCGAGAGGTCCATGGTTCAAATCCGTGTGCCCCCTTCCCTGTTAAATTTTAAAAAGATTTTTATTTTTTAATGTACAGTATTTATACGCTATAACACCATATATGTATATATAAAATAATTATGTGGTTCTAGTAAGGCCTTTTTTATAAGGTAATGTCACCTAAGAGTACGAGTTTTCTCGAAGTTGAAAATATTGAAATGATTAGTGCTATACAAAACTTATGGGAGAACGTTTAAGTTTCTGTAAATTGTGTATACATAAAAAGAGCCTTGTGATTTTAATGGCTAAGAGAAATTTTCTACCTTTCTGAAATATTTTACCTTTTGAAATAATGAGTTCTCAGATCTTTAAAGTGGAAGTAATAGTTTTTGTTTGATGATAGAAAGTCGAGTTACTTTGTTAGTTAAGTTGTGAATGAATTTACAAGAGCATGCGTGAACGGTGCTCTAACTAATTGTTTTTCTGAATTAAGACAGATGCATTCAAGAGAACACATGTGCTCTCAGCGGTCCTGATAAATTATACTCTTTGATATCATTCAAAAAAATTTTAAATCTATGTTTATTTTATTTCTTCAGCTATAAAAATAAGATTTTAAAAGAAAAAGAGACAGAAAATTATTTTTTATCAACGAATATTTCGAAGAAGCTCAAAAAACTTGATAATAACTTGTACTTGATTGTCCCAAAATATCTAGTAACTTAATTGGAAAAGTTAGGGAAACTAGATTGCTGTAATGCACGTATTTTTTTTAAACGTAAAAGAAACAAATATAGTTTATCTGAATACTGCTTTTTTATTATCACACCAATTTTATTATCATAAAAACCAATGGACAAGTACAGTTATAACTTAGGAACCATTTTTGAAGGGTGCGTACTTTTAGATCTCGTACTCTTACTCTTATCTATCCTATATCTAAGAGTACGCACTTAGCAGAGGTTTCTTCATCCCTCAGCCTTTACAAAACATCTTTTTCTGACTTCATTATGTACATTATTTCATTAAAAACATTTCAAAGAATCGATAGAATCAAATCCAAAATTTTTATTCATTGTAGAGTATTAATTAATAAGGCAAAATCACAAAAGTGAGTACTTTTATGGAGCCTTACTCTACTCATCTTGCATTTGGCTAGGCCCACAATGGGGTGACCAATTGGTGAAAGACAGAGTCAGCATATCCGAGACAGACAAAATTTCTCTCCCGGATCAATCTCGGGTCCTCTAATGAATTACGCTGACAGCCTGCCCACCTCGACTATTCCGCCAGCTTTGACAACCACTAGTAATATTGATTCGTTGGCACATGGTATGCGAATTTGAATTGACGCTATGGGATCTTTTATCGTAATAGAAATTTGAAAGGGAATCACGAAGTATGAAACTTAGAAAGAGTTCATAAACGTCTTTCTTATCGAAACGGGGAAAAAAAGGTTTAAAAATACAGCATTTAAAGGGAAAAATAATTCTTTAAAATGGAAGAATCTTGAATACTTATATCCATGTGCATTAAAAAAACCAAAAAAAAAAAAAATCCACAAAAAATGTGACATTGCCGTATACTGTATATGGCTGTCTTCTACAGGTGGCATTGTGATTTCGATATCCGCTCTTCCCTTCTGTACCGCATGTGTGTATCTGCCTTTACACTGTGATGGCATGCAATACTGTAAATCAAGTGATCCCACCTAATTGTTATGGTAATGTCTCCCACTCTTTCTATAGAACATGGATAAGTTCTGGGATATACTCTGGTGGCGAATTTCGTTCAACAGTGCGTAATTCTAGTGTCCCATTAATGTTTTTTAGGATTCAAGTGTTGAGAGCAAACAATTCACGCTACTCAATTCATTTTCATCAAATGAATTAAGTAACGTGGTCAATCCATTCGATGAAAAGCCTCAAGTACTAGCGTACCCAATGCATCTATTCTGTACGTAAGGGCATTGTCGTTTATGAAAACGAATTCTTTGTCCATATCGTGGAAAATCGAACTTGGCATAGTAACGTTTTTACTATAGTATCCATCGGTTACAAGCACTTATAGCTCAATATATGGATTGACGGCTGGTGGCAGTCTACCGCTCTGGGGACCGGGAAGCGAAAAACTCCAGGAATTTTTCGGGGGTGATCCATTCAGATATATCGAGCTCCGTCTCTTATCACCCGATCACCGTTGTGGGCCTGACCAAATCAACTTGTGGACTTGCAAAAACGTCCCCTTGATGCGCTCGCAACAAAGAAAGAGTAAAAACAGATAAAAATCCATTACTAGATTTATAATTTGTTTGTTTAAAAGTAAAAATCTCGGGCGCTTTTCTCGTTATTTATTGCATCATTTCAGTCCTAATAGCAACTTTTGTAATACGATTTTTCTCTTCAAAGTTTTTTCTACGTATTAATAAGTGTTTCCTTTCTCTGTTGATTCTTTCTGTTTTCCTTTTGACTTTTTTAAATCCTTAAATGACATTTCGAATAATGATACTTTAATTATTTAATTCTGCTTTAGCATATTAATATTTCTATAATTTTTTTTTAACTAAACGATATTAAAGTATTTGTTTCAATCACCTTATATTTAAAACCATATAATAGTAATAATATAAGTAACATGACTAGCGATTCGATCAAATAATAAAATAAAATAATCCAGAATAAGGCAGTAATTTGTAATTTTCGAGCACTGTCCACGGAATTAAACTAAAGAAACAAAAATCAAAGAAAAATTATTCAAGTAACAATTTTGAATCCTGATAATTACAATCCTGACATTTGTCATTTTCTTTTCTTCTTTTTTTTTTTTAATACTTTCTTATTAATGTACAAAAGAATAAGTTTTCAAAAGAAAAATCAATATCGATATTTAGATCGATATCGATTGCTTACCTATAACCGAATATAGAATATTTATATCGTAACAAAGAAGATTGTTTTAATATCAAAAACTTTTTAAAATAATTCAATATCAGTTTCAGAAGGCACAATATTGTTTCGTTCTCATCCTATCGCATTCGCTGAGCAAAGCATTCAATATGAATATGTCACATTCAGGTACGTTTTTCTTCTATAAGTTATTTTAAATGGATTTTATCATCATTCTAAAAGTACCCTTTACTGGCTTACTAATTATTTTCTATACATATACATATATACTATACATAAACTATTTCATGTTTCATTACAATGAGCATAAAACAACTATCCTGTAATATATTCGATAACACAAATGCCAAATCTTTATTAGTCAAATTAATCCAAAATAAATAAATTAATGATCCAATTAACTTTATTCTGCGTGATATTAATTATTTATTAGCGTGTAGATACGTATGTTTGTGATATTTACATATTCACGCACATAGCCAAGTGCATGAGCGCATGCAAGCGTGTGTTTGAGTAAAATTTTATATTTCGTACTTAGTTTAAGTATTTATAAAAAAAACAATCAATTATATATCTTATCTCTTATTAGCTACAAAGAAGAAGCTACAGAAAATGGAATTACAGAAGATTTGTACCAGTATTAGGTATGGATAAATGCANTTTAACCTAATTTAAAACATAAATATTAATTAATAAAATAACATTAAAATGGTGATGTTAATTTTATAAAATAAACGATTAAAAATTGATATTGTAACCGTTTAAAAATGAAAATAAAATACACAATAGTATGATTTTTAGATAACAGATGGAGTGAGCAATTTCCATCCTTTGATTATCCTCCTCCATGTATCCTCAGCTTCATCTCGTTGTTATAGGTCTGCGACATGTTTCTTCTCTCTTAAATCTATTTTAGTTGTCTCATCAAGAAACAGGTCTCAGACTAAATTGAATCGCTTTCTACGATTTAATTTGGATTGTTGTAGTAAGATTGACATCAATACCAAGAAGATGATGTCAGAGAAATATCCGTTATTCGATAATAAAGTGGATGTGTTTCGAAAGAAGTACGTCTAGTTGGTAAGTATATTTTATTTTTAAAAAAAAATTACCATTTTCGTCGTAAATTATAATAAAATTATTTTAAAAAATGTACTTAAAATAAATTTTATTATATACATTTTAATCGGGTTTAATATTTTTATAACTTTATAGGTTAATTTTTAATATCTTATATTAAATTTACCTTAAACAGAAATTTTATTTTAATTATAGTCAGCTTATGAATAACATTTAATAAATCCTTCTGATAAATTTCTATTAATATTTTAATATATTCATGTTTTATTAAAATTAATTACAGTTTGACGAAAATAATATTATTAGCGGTTAAATAACAGCTTTATTAAATTATTTATTAAAAATTTTTATGTACCGAAAAATAAATTTTTATAAAACTTTCATCAGCGATATTAAAAATTCTTAATATAAAAGCTAAATTTACAATCATTCGGTAATGATAAAACTCTATTAAGGATAGTTTATATGCGGCCTTCGAGTTTTCTGAATAGAAAATATTTTTCATGAAAATCTCCAGAAATTTATATGCAAAATATCGTTTTTTTTTTTCTACTTATTTCTTAGAAAATAAACATTTTTTCCCCCTTAATATTAGATTGAAACTATATTTTAAAAGTTGAGGACTATTTTTTTAAATATATTTATTTAAATATTTTTAAAATAATAATGCATAATTAAATTTTACCGTTATGTATTTTACTAAACAAGTATCCTACTATTGTTTCTGATCACGAAAAATTCTTATATTAACGCTTTATTATATTAAAAAAAATAAGTTTATCAACAAAATTATTTATTATTATTTTTTTTATGAACTTTTATATTGAATACCCAGAAATATCCTAGTTTTATGACATTGCATGATTATTCGTGATTATATGTAACGCTCAATCGTGTTTTTCTTTCATTAAAATATCATTATGCAAATAAAGTTATCAGAATAAATCAATTAGAATTATATATATATATTTTTTTTAAATCCAATTCTTAAATTTAATGCCAATAAATTTCTAAACAACATAATTTAAAAGTAAACAAATATCTTTAAGAATTTGTTCGCTCGAATATTAAATCTTAAGTTTGTTTTCTTCTTTGATTGGAGAATTGATGCGTTTTGTGAGATTTCTATGCACTTTCTGTTTAATTAAAATATATTTTCATCAAAGTATATTGAATATTCCAAGAGATAACTCATTGACCACTGCTTTTATTGTCATCTATCGATTATTTTCTAGTCAATAAATATGGCAGGAAGAATTTATGGAGTTAATGTTCGTTCATCTATTTTATATACTCTGTAGTGTCAGTGTACATAACACCAACCCTTCAGTAGAACAGAAAAATAATAGGGTCCTACTTTCATAAATTTATACGAAAAAAAAAATTATTTCTCTTAATATAAAATACAAATAAAACTTCAAATATGTTATCTCGTTGTAATTATTATTTATAAACGTAACTTGATTTAATTATACTAATATTTAATCACTTTAATTAAGCTTTAATCTTAATTAAGATTTCACTAATTAAGCATCTCCATTATTTGATATGTGATGTATTTCTAATATAATCGAATAAATATAAATTACATATCGTAATTTATATAGAATTTAATGGAAATACCATAAATATTGTAGGAGTTGTCATATCAGAATTTTATGGAGGAAAAATAGCAAATCGTAAATCAAAATAAACTACATTGTAGATATTGTAAACATTTTTATATAAATCTAAAAAAATTTACCTGTTTCTAAAGAAATTTATATTTTAAATAATTGTAAAAAAAAATCATTTAATATCATTAGAATTCTTTTCTCTCAAAATCGATCGAAATTTTAAATGTCTTAATAAAATTTAATTGATAATTAAAGCAAAAGTTTTTAGAAAAATTAATTATTTTTTACAAAAAAAATATATAAAATAAATGTATCCATTTGTTTTACTGATTTTAGTTCTTGTTAATTATCGAATTTGTCGTATTATTAATTTATAATTATGAAAAAATGAAAAATATTAATTGTTAACTTATTAGTTTTAATATGAAACATTAATTTAGTATAAACATTTGTCTTTAAAAAAGTTAAATCATCACAAACTGTTGTTATTATAGTGATATCGGCTGATCCTCTTAGGAATATTGATTTTAGATTTGCTTTTTTTTTCTATTAAAATAATATTATAGCAAAAAAAAAATTAATAAATAATTTATTTATTTATTTGCATAGTTTAACATCTATAAATTAAAAAGTCATCAATCATTATAATTGTGAAGCATAAAGACCATCTTGTGCTCAATTGCTCTAACGACACTAAGTTGTTACTAAAATTAGTTTTAGAATTTATGTAATTTAATTGGCAGAATAAAAAGAAACTCGAATAACCCATTTGAAATTAATTTCGTTTAAAAAGGAAAAATACGATTGGTTATTTACAGAATTGTTTGTGATGTAATTCAATGTTTCATCAATCAACACGTGGTATTTATAAAGAGGAACAATTTAAGAAACACCTTATCTCATTTTAACTTACAAGAATGGAATAAATTTTAATTTAAAATATTTTATAAGGAAACATTATGTTAATGTTTAGGTCTCTTTTTTTTTAAATCATACAAGAGAAAACAAATTATATATTATTTTAAATTATTATTATTATTATGGGCGCATTCATTTAACTCAATTTTAACGTTTAAAAAAAATTATAATTAAATCAAAACTACCTACTAATTTATATAATTTGCTGTTGATCTGAACAATTTTAAAGTAAATTCTACACACGTATATAAGTGTAAGACAGAAATTTCTTTTCTTACTTATTAAACCTGGTTGTTCAGGATGCTATATATTCATATCGAATTGGAACTGTACTAGCTCATGTTACACTCTATCCTTCTTAGAAAATGTTATTTTTATAAGATTTTTCTTATTTTTATAGCATAAAAAAAGTTTAGATAAGCTAAACCCGAAATAAGTTTGTTTCTTCAAAATTAAATTTATTTTTATCCGTTTATACGCTATGCAATTGATCTATATCTTTCTCTCATCTCTATTCAGAATCGTTTACAATCCTGTTAACATTATTAAGTATATCATTAAAATTTCTTAATCTATAACCTTTCCACGCCATTTTTAACGGTCATTTCAAATGTTCTGTTAGAAATCATTACTTAGTGAATATCCTATAACTTTTGGATATAATATTGATATATATAAACTGTTATCTTAATACAAATGCAGCAAGCTTACAAAACTCTAAATTAGATCTTTTATGGGTTTTCAGTATAGAATGGGTTACATCATCATTCCAACTCCATCCATTATAATGGATCTGACTCAAAATGATGCTGCAATATGGATGATATTAGGAGAAAATATCTGATTGGTAATATCTATTAAAAATCACAGAGAAATTCAAACTCAAATACTGTATATTAGATTTTCAGGAAATTATTGAAATTAACAAAAGAAAACATTATGTTTTTCTTAGTTATCAAAAATGGCATTATTCAATTTTTAAAATAACAAAAGAAACGTGGAGGTAAAGCCATTAACATTTATCACTCCCGAGTCTTCAAGTTTGTTATTTAAATATTGAAATTTCAGAAATCGGAAAATTAATTTCTGGAAATTTGACACGAAATCACTCTGAAATCTATACAGGGTACAGTACATGCCAACCTCATGAAAAAATATAGGACATTTATTTCAAAATTATAGGGCACATTACTCAAAATTACATGAATTTATAGGCAGTACTACATGATATTCTATAATTTTATTCTTTGAAACTGCATTATGCTTATTAGTAATATTTTGCATGTGTTACTCTTTTTGAAAATGCAATGTTTTCATTGTAAGTTTATTACTATTTATTAGTCCAAAAAACATTAACTTTGTAAAAAAAATAATTTGTTTTTTGTTTTACTCCTACTTAAGCCTATTGTAAATTTATTAAATTTTTATTTTTGGAATGATCAGTCTTCACTCCAACAGACAAATATCTATTTTTTGTCCAGAAATTTGTCTGCGCCTTCTCCACGTTTCATTACTTGAAACTCAAATCTAAAACCTTTTTATATTTTTCACAAAATCGGTAATTCTGACATTCACATTATTTTATTGCGTACTGACATTATTAACAATTTTATTTACAGTTTGCAAAGGAACAAGCTGTAGGGATATTCTACCCTCTGTAGCTTGTCACGCTTTCATATTTTGAGTTTCACATCCCTTCTGGAAATGTTCATTTGCTTTCTTTATAAGTTTTTCTGGCATTGTAACTTTTCTCGAAGATCATCTCGTTCCTTCAGCAGTTTATTTTCTGCTTTTCTGGCTTCCGCCTTCCTTTTGTGCATTTCTTTTCTATTTCCTTCTTTTGTTCAAGTTTTTTCTTCATTCTCATTACTTTCGTACATTAATTGCATGCATCTCTAGTAGCTTTTAACAAAAGTGGAGATTGGGACGTTGAACAAATTCTAGTTCATCTGTACTACATTGTTGATAGTATGTAGCCCATTGATTGTTTCGATCTTCAGATTATTTTTTTAAATACATCATTATTAAAAGAGAAACGCCTTTCAACATCTCCCAGTCCATGGCAAATTGTTAATGCTGTTTTCACAAGCTTTTCTAGCTTGGATCAGTTATCTTTTTAAGTACTCTGACGAATAGACAAACTCTCTGGAGCTTCACAAAGTGTTTCTCATTTTCATTCACACCTCCTTCCAAGATGTGATTTTCTTTTTAATACTGTTATCAGCAATCTAACATTTTCATTCAGAAACAATAATATCATTTATTTCTTGAAATCATCTGTGGCAACTTTTTTGCGGGGTTTTGTAAGAGGAATATTTTCTGTTCATACTAATAAATAGAGACACTGAAGTGTTTGCACCAATATATTGTTGAGAGGTAAACGTTGTATATTATATAAAGACACAAAATATTAGTATAAAATGCCAAAGCTGAAAGAGTCTGCTTCCTTTGCTGATCTCATTTAGA